CTCAGATCTCATGGACGAGCCAGTAGTTCGTCAACGACGCAAGGTGAGCGGCAAATGAGGGAAAGGAAACAAACGGTTTTGTACTCCCCAGTGGCAAAAAACTCTCCTGCGCCGCAAGGTCGAAGTGTAAAAAGAAAATCTTAAATAAATAAATATATTATTTCCTATTTAAAAAGAACTTGGAGTTTTCATTTGCAAGTCGGCCTCCGCTTATTATCACCGACTATCTGGACATTCCCTTTCTTGAGAACTTTCTCGTGCTATCGGAAGGATATAGTGCAGATGTTATGCTTTTAGTTCTCACACAGTCTTGAATAGATTAAGTTCCAGACTTAAATTTGAAGAATTATTCGCCAGATAGAGAAGGACAGGGCTACACCACGTCATTTAAGATCGCACACTCTAATATACCATGGAATTGACATCTGATAATGGAATGACGTTTATTTTTGAGATTTTTTCCTAAAAAAAACAAAATTTCTAGCCTCTACCATACTTAGCTAATGAATTTTTGATGATCATTTATGCCATTAATGATTGGTCATTCCTTCTGCATTCCACTGGTAGCACAGAGAGAGCTCATCCTCCATCTCTCAATGAAGCTGACAACGACGAGTAGCCAAGAGTTGGTTCCTTAATCGCGTCCCACATTAGCATGAAAGTGTTTGCTGTAACAGTTAGAGGCACACGGCGCACACCTCCCCATCCCTTCTCCATTATTTAAGTTACGATTTACTGCAGCTGTAGAGTTCCGTACAATTTTCTGAAATTCCAAAACTAGAGATGTTTGAGCTATACCATATTAAAATCTAAATTTCAAATTTGAACTGTACTAGAACTTTGCCCAAAAAGGTTAATTGGCATGCTATCACGAGTATATCCATTCGTAACAATAGGCCATTTCTTAAAGTTATGGTGGGTGACCGGCGAGGTTATAATCACAGATTCGTCTGAGAGTTATGCGTCATTGTGGTCATGAAGTCGTCATTTGCGATAATAAGTAGACATGTGGGAGGTCAGAATCATGGGGACTTACGTTGGGGTTGTGTTAAGATTCATCTTTCCACTGTAGCCTCAGCCTTTGGTCAG